TTTTTTCTTCTTCAAATTATTTATGATATATACACTTTTTCTTCAAGTATATTAACCTGTTTGGGAGTAGACTGATCTCCCGTGGGGAGTTGAATGATTTCCCGTTGGGGAGTTGAATGATCTTTCGTGGGGAGTAGGATTGTGCTGGCGTTGTTTCTTCTTTTTGGTTTTTGTGGTTGTGGGTGAGTTGTGAGTGCGTTTGGGTGATTTAGGCCATACCTTGTGTATGGTTCTCTCTGTGTTTTCGGTTGTATTTGGAGCTTTTGCTTTGGTTTGTGTTCAATGAGATTATCTATCGTTTAGAAAAAAAACGGTTTGGAGAGGAATTCATGGTCGTCTTCCTTCCATTCAAACAAAAAGGTAATCCTATGATTATTGGTAAAAAAATATATATATTAACAAAACAATAATGCTAAAGAGCCAACAACCAATGAGACAACTCCAAGTGGAGCTGGCCCACAATACTTTAATGTGGGACAACCCCAAATGGAGTTATCCAATTGGTTGTTGGCTCCATAACAGAGCCAACTGTTGGTTCCTTAGCATTACTGATTAACAAATATACTTGCATCAATTGTTTTATAATTTTTTTTTATAGTTTATTATGTACAATATATCAATCATTTTACATAGATAAATTATTAATTAACACCTACTCAAATCATTAAATTGTATACGATTAATCGGTTATTAGCTAGTTACCAACAATCAGTTCAATCAGCCTCATTCTCGTAACTTCAATAACACAAGCTAATATGTCAACCAACTGATAAGTTGGGAAATTAGCATAAAATATAACCGAAATATCAGAAATTTTAATATATATGTTGTTGGTGGATACATCTTAATATAATATATGCATATGGTGTAATAGTATGCATTTCCCTCAATTAATAAATTGCTAACACAAGTGAGTGTATCAAGAGCAATATATTTATGTATAAGTAAATTAATTCTTCAATTAAAATCATTGCTTCATTTTTTTTTTAATAACAATTATCGATTTTTTTTTTCTTTTTCTTTCTTTAACTATATGAATGAAGCAAGTCAAATTTTTCACTTGAGACTACAATAGGTAACTATTTTTTTCACTAGGACTGGTTGGTTGAATTGTGAAGCGGCTTTTTGGGCTTTGAGGGTTGTTGGGTTTGGGTCATTGAAAAAGCTGGATAGAATGGGCCCACAAAATCCCCCAAAGAGATACAGCTAACGTTGAGTGATATTGCCTTTATTTGCTTGCTGTGAAAAATATTTTTGGGCCCTTAAAATATTTTGAGCAGGTGACCAAGTGGTCCAAAGAGTAGCCAAAATTTATTTATTTACCAATTA